AGATGAAACAGTCTGTTCTGTGGATATATTCAAGTCGAAAGAAGAGAAATGGCTCTCAAAGCGCACTGCATGCAACTTTTCACAAACATTATATATATACGAAACCCAGATTACTCTATGTACCAAGTGGAACACAATTTTAGCCTCATCCATGAGGCATAGTTTAGTTCCACTAGAAACTTTCATGGCAGCCGGGATCGCTCAGTCGGTATAGCGGCTGGCTACGGGCTGGATGACTGAAGTGTCGAGTTCGAGTCCCGGTAAGGGCAAGAATTTTCTCTATGTCGACCAGACCGGCTCTGGGGCCGAATCAGCCCTTGTCCATGGGCACCCGGGAAGGGTTCTTTCCCCTGGAGTAAAACGGCCGGGGCGTTAAGCTTGCCGCTCACCTCAGACTAGTGCCAAAGTCAAGAAAACGTGGAGCCATATATCCACTCCCCTATACGTTTTCATGACAGTGCTTAATTAGATAAAGAGTTTTCCGCAATTCCGGTATGCAGAAAAGTCTCCATGCACGCAAATTCCTCATACGCGGGTCAGTCTTAGTCGCGATCTGTCTTTAGGAAGTTGGTCTTAGGCTTCCCACGGCGGCGGCTGGGTTCGATATCAGGTCAGGTCATGTGGGAATTATGACGGACAAAGTGGCATTGTAATTGGGTTTTCCCTTACCAATTCTCATTCCCTCATCTGTTCGAAATTAATTCATCACCATATCACAGAAGTTACACTGTTTCGATATCGAGCGTGTACTTAAATAGCATCTAAAAATTCAAAATTTACCTTGTTTCCATGGAAAATAAAAGTAAACCCATTTACATGAAAGTGGCATATTACGAAATGATATTTTTTTCGGAATATATTCTTACAATGGCTCTTCCAGCCCATTCAGGGCCATTGACCTCTTATTCAGCTCCGTAATCATTCTTCACAGAGGATAGAACTCCATGGACGGGGGATCAGCCCGTCGTAAAGGCCGCTACCTAAACACAGGCCAACACAAACACTGAATAAATGCATACACACACCAAATATTCACATCTTGAGTGCGATTCGAAACCACGATCCCAGCGTCCGAGCGAGCGACTACAGTTCATGCCTCAGAACCCGCGGCCACAGTGACCGGCCTGAAAGGTAATGCTACCCCTGTAACAGGCCGTGGAGGCCCACACGTTTATGAGACGTCGTGGATCTCACTTTTCCTAACAAACAGTCGGCTCACAGGTGGAGGTGAGGTTAAGTAAAGCTATCCCTGTAACAGGCCGTGGAGGCCCATAGAGTTGTGAGACGTCGAGGCTCCCACATTTTCTAGACAATCGCCTCACAGATGGTGGTGAGTTTAAGTGAAGCTATCCCAGTAACAGGCTGTGGAGGCCCATAGGGTTGTGAGTCGTCGAGGCTCCCACATATTCTAGAAATTCGGCTCACAGATTACGGTGAGGTTAAGTAAAGCTATCCCTATAACTGGTCGTGGAGACCCATAGGGTTGTGAGACGTCGAGGCTCCCACATTTTGTAGACAATCGACTCACAAATGGCGGTGGTGATGTCAGCCTTACGCGCCGGCCGCCTTTTACCACGCCCCAGGGGGTTCCCAGGAAGATTCCTGATGCTCTTTTCTGTTAGAGGCTGATTCGACGCCAGGGCCATAGTGCGGCTGGATGTATTAGGTCGATTGAAAAATCCTCCTCATCGGAACTCAAACCCGCGACCTTCCACATTGTAGCATAATTCCTCAATCAACTACTCTGCCGCCTACCCCACATTCGCATGTACCGATCACACAGTCCTAGAATCGCGTTCAAACTTCCTACACCGACATTTTCACTCCGAGTCTTAGATTTCTTAATTGAATGTAAATTATTTTTGACGTACAGAAAGTATGAAGTGTCTGGCAAACACAACAAACTCTGCTCTTGTTTAAACAAAGTTACTGTCGGATCTCGGTACTTCCAGAGCAGACCTCGCCTCGCTGCAGCTGCAAGAAATGTTATTGTTTCAGACAAGTGTACCCCCCCCCCCCTTCAGAACAATAGATGACTCTCCACATCTCCCTTGTACGGGGTGATCCTCAAGGCTTCAAAAGTTCGATGGAAAGGCTGGGGCTGGCTTAACATTCCGATTGGCTGATTTAATTTATTCATCAATTTAACATAAATCTATTCAATTTATTCTTCTTGCGTACTACACTTTTTTCTTCTAAAATCAACTCAACTTCGAAATAAATCAATCATTCAACCAATAAGACTGACATTTATGTAAATATATTAATATTTATATGCTTCAGCAATTAGTTTAACCCTCTAAAGACAGAATTTCTTCAGAGATATACAGTTGGCACCTCAGAGGAAACATATTACGTCTCCGCTACAAAGCCCAACAGCTTAATATTGTTTAGGGAAAGAGTAGCTGTTTATTGTGAGAACCATACGGAACACATAAATACACTGTGTGGGCAGAATGCAGAGTTAAGTTCGTACCTCACAGGAAACATATTACGTCTCCACTACAAAGCCCAACCGGTTAATGCTGTTTAGGGAAACAGTCGCTGTTTACTGTGAGAATCATACGGAACACATAAATACACTGTGTGGGCAGAATGCAGAGTTAAGTAACATATATAAATTCAGTTCGTACCTCACAGGAAACACAAGAAAAGGAGAGGAAAAGAGAACCCGGAGCCTGGGAGTATAACTGGACCACCCTGTTCTTGGGGGATATAAATACGGGGACCTGGCCCTCGAGGTTGGGAGGAGTCTCGAATCTGAGACAGCAAAATGTGGTCATGAGCCTCGCGGGACTCGGACCCAAGAATGACTGCGCTGGCGAGGACAGCAGCAGTTATAAACGACACACGCGCCTTCTCGTCTGAAAGGGCCCCTACGTCAAGAAACCCGCAACTTTCTGACAGTAATAAAAATCTGGTCTTGTGCCCCAAAAGGGGGCTTGACACCAAGAAAAACTGGCCAAATGACCGTCAGTTGTAACATAAATTTGACTCTGACTTTGAGTTATTAGTTGAGTCGTTTGAGAGTTGCAGTTGAGAGAAATGAGAAACTGGTAACTGAGGCCGGGCACAATTCTAGAATGCAAAGGGAGGGGAACGTCCATCCTTGGAAGCAGCTACCTAGCAACGGCTAGTGAAAATTGAGGAAACATTATGTGTGCTGTAGTTACAGTGACCTTTGGAGTCTGTAATTCATTGGGTTGTCTAGTTATTTGCAGTTTCATGGGTAAGCGTCCAATAAATCCAATTACCAATCCAAACCTCTTCTTTGGTCACAATCACATGGCAGTATTCTGATTTGAAAATATGAACTATGTTATAGTATATAAAAAAAGACATTTAATGGTTTATTATTTGTGCGCGTCATTTGTGTGAGATGGCGTTAAACGTCTTCCATGCAGTATCATTCGATAACATGTACACCTGGAAAGAAATATGGGAAACAGAAGGGGAAGTTAACAGCGAGAAGATTACGTAATGAATGAATAGACTTCCCGTTGAATTCTCACGGGTTTACAGTAATATAGTTATGTAATACTGTTACATAACGGTAAACATTCTACTGAAATATTGCTATAGGAACGGAAGGACCAAACTGGTTAGCATAGCGGTAGCAGAGTACACTTAATCGGGAGGTGAGCGGTTAGATTCTCATTTGAGTCACCAGTTATTTTGACTGTGTTCGTGGTTTTCCTCAAAACCTCCAGGCCAGTTCCCTTATAGTACTCCGAATAAGCCAGTATTCTTTCCTTCCAAATCTTTTCCAGTTCATCAGTCATGTGCAGTGGGGATACTGTCGTAGAAAGAAAAATTTTTAAAAAGAGGGACAGGTTATCTGTTGGCTGGAAGTATTATTATTATTATTTTTATTGCTAGTGGGGTGGGACTAAGTCCCTTGTACTGCGGCCACTTCTGGCCTATTGTACCAACCCCAGATGATAGGTGAGGGTGATTGTGGAGCAATTGGTGGAACGAAGATTGGCAGAGGAAACCGAAGTACTCGGAGAAAACCTGCCCCAGCGCCACTATGACCACCATAAATCCCACTTGACAGACCCCGGGATCTAACCCGGGCCGCCGCGGTGGAAAGCTAGCGACTAACCGCTTGAGCTGTGGTGCGACCGACATGGCTGGAAGTAAATGTTAAAAATATAAAGTAATCCCTATGTTTAATTAATTAAGCACTACGCCATGAAGACGTACGGGGAATTGTGAGTATAAATCTACTATTGTTGATCTCGGCACTAGTTGTAGATAAGTGATCAGCTTCACGGCCCGGCCGCTCTACCCCCAGATAAATATCTGTTTGTACCCATTGGATAGGAGGCCGGGTGTGCCCCAGAGCCATTCTGAACGCTATGTTGAAGAGACAACATTTTCCATTACTGGGGAACGAAACCCGGCCGTCTACGCCTTAGCTCCACTGTATCGACTGAGCTATCCGGACTCCTCTATATCTGACAGTGAACGTTTTTATATCTCAGATTTGGAGCCTCTGCTCATAAATAGAAATTATCTTAAGTCTTTAAATTAATTTGATTTCAGATGCGTGTAATAAGTAACGCCTACACAACGTAATAGATAAATATTCGTCTTAATCCAAAATGGTTCTGGAGTGGAATTTAAAAGCAGTCATAATTACAATACATTAATCCAGTTCGAAATTCCGTCTTCTACCCACCTCTGTTACAAGACCTACCGCAATATAACCATCTCGTATATCTGGTCCCATCTACAAGTCATTCATATTTTTGACTCTTGGCTTCCAAATAACGATTATGAGACTAGTCCACGTTCATTCATTCGTATTTCTGTTCTTAACGTGTCCCAATCTTTATCCTCACATTCTTTCTCTCTGTCCCGTGAATCTAACTGTCTCTTTCTGACATTTCCCCCTCTTTGAGCCTCCCATCCCACTCCAATTCAGTATCTCTGTCACACGCACGGGGGGGAGACACTATACACGTATATAAAAGCCCCGTGCTCTTGCTTGTAGCTTTGGAGTTCCACAGGTGAATTGGCAAACAGCATCACAGTCCGAAGGAGCACGTAGAGACTTCACTTGACGAAAAAGTATATACTGGAAACGTTTTCAAGTTATTATATTTTCTAGGTTAAAATTTTTCTTTTTTTATTACAATTTAAATTTATTTAAGAAGGGTTTTATTAAATATATACGAAGTAATAGTTGTTTTTTTTTGTGAAGTGAGTAAATTTGGGGATAAATTAGATAGAAGTTATAGAATTGTTTTTACGCTTTCCCAAGCCCCCACCCCCACCCGAAAGGTGACCCAGCAAGTGGCTGAGATGTCCTGCCTTTCTGCGCCAACGAGAGCCTCTGTCCTGGGAGTGGCTGCGAGAGTTACTGTACTCCTTCTGGTATTTGGACTCGCAGAATGTGCTGCAGGTATGTGTTCGTGTATGTATGTACAGATACACAATATCGCTCTGTGTCCGAGGATTTCAATTAAACCTAAATAAAAATACTTGTAATTTCTCTTGAGTCTGATCAGGTTCAAAATCGAATGAAATAGGTTGGAGAGGAAGTAGATTAATCTGGCTCAGGATGGGGACCAGATGAGAACTTTTGTGGGCATGATACTGAACCTTTCGGATTCCGTAAACCCTCGCTAATCCGGTTACAATTAATCCGGATCGAAATTTGAAAAATGAAAAATTCTCTTCACAGTTGAGTACATATACTTTAAAAGACACATGGGATTTAGGAGCAAGCGGACTTTCAGACTGTGTTGAGGGCATCTGGAGAGACTGAAAGCACGCAAGAAAATATCCAAGATTGGCTTCAGCTGGATGAAGAAGACCCTGGATTTCAGCTTCTGACAGTGATAGATTTTATTATTATTTATTTTCATCAGTACTACTTATATTAATAAATTTTCTATTTATTTTTGTTACTTAGGGCTATCTTTTGCTTCATTAATCCGATTGCTACGGTTTTCTGTTTTCGGATATTCTGGAGAAGTTGAGCGACTGACAGATTGTTAAGAAGAACTCAGCTCCGAGGAATTAGTTGGTTTTCTGTCAAGTGTAATTTCAGCGAGGAGCTTGATAACTTGTATTCTTCTCCAAGCATATTTAGAAACAAGAAGTCAAGGTGGATGAGATTGGCAGGGCATATAGCACGAATTTGGTCGAACAGGAATGCATATAGGATATTGTTGAGAAAGCCAGAGGGAAATGGATCCACCAGGAAGACCAAGACGTAGGTGGTTGCACAATATTAAAAAGGATCTTAGAGAGATAGGATGGTAAGGTATGGATTGGATTGATCTGGCNGCGTAGGTGGTTGCACAATATTAAAACGGATCTTAGAGAGATAGGATGGTATGGTATGGATTGGATTGATCTGGCTCAGGATAGGGACCAGTGGAGTGCTCTTGTGAACACGGTAATGAACCTTTGGTTTCCATAAAATGCTGGGAAATTCTTGAGTAGCTGCAGAATTGGCGGCTTCTCAAGAAGGGCTCAGCTCCATGGGTGAGTGAGTTAAGTGTAATGTCACAGACTGGGGGTTCTGCGGAGTATGTCTGGACCAAAGGGGGAGACATTGTTAGAGAGAAGAGTTGAGAAATTTTATAAGGAGAAACTTCGTAATTTGTCTCACGACAGACAAAATATAGTTAAGGTGAAAATTGCATGAGATGAGACGATCGGAGCATGAAACACACTTGGAAGAAACGTGCATGCAAGTTTTTATCATTTGGAAGACCAAAGGATAAATGTAAATATAATATTAAAATTGTTATAGTAAAAAAGAGGATGAGATAGGCTTGCATTGATTTATCTGGCTCAAAATAGAGAAGAACTTTCGAGTTCCATAAAATTTTGGAAATTTCTCGCGTTGCTCAGCGAAAATTAGCTTCCCGAAAAGCGACAAGTAGTCCCGACAAGGAATTTATGAAGATGAAATTAATGTGTTACTCAGTTCAAAAGAATTCTGACGATAATGCATTAAATTTAGCACTAGGCAGTTTGTGGGCATCGTCCTTCATCATCATCATCAGTAATCTGTCAGACGACAGGTCCACAGTCTCTTCCAAAACAGTTTCTCCACTTAATGCGATCTTCTGTTTTTGGAAAGAGACTATCCAGGAAAAGTGATAATGTGGTAGTTTTTCCATTTGCTTTCCACATCGCAGTACAACAGCCGTTCAAACCACTCTGGTCACGCCTGTTGCTATACGAACTTGAACCATCTCGAGCATCATTTGCTCTGTGCTTCAAGTCGCTGCTGATGACGCTGCTTCCGACGTCAGTTTTTGGTATCTCTCTTCGTCTGATGCCTACCCTTTGACCTGTCCAGCAAGGGAGGCCCTGCCAGTAGCTACGCTACCGCTGGTATAGCTCTCAGGGTCCTTGGCATCTGATTCTAAAATAGAACACGACGTTTCGGAATCTATATCTGACTATGATTTTATTTTATTCATGTTTTTGTCCAGTAACACAAAACAGTAGGCACCCTGCAACAGAAGATGGCGGTAGATCTAATTCCGAAACGTCACATTTTATTTTAAAATCGAATACGAGATCTGAGGTTCTCACAGTTGCGATTTCTGGGTTAAAATTAAATCGATGTTTCGGAGGAATATATGGTCTCGATCTTCAGGGTAGAGGAATAAGCCAAGCAAGAAGGCCGAATCATAGCTCAAGCGGTTAGTCGCTGGCTTCCTACCACGGCGGTCCGGGTTCGATCCCGGGTCTAGTCAAGTGGGTACTTCGGTTTTCCCTGCCTATCTTCATTCCACCAAATTCCCCATCATCATAATCACTCGGGGCAGGCTACAATAGACCAATCAGTGGCTGCCGTGCCGAGTCCACCCCCCACTAAGCGAATTTAAAAAAATAATAATTAAGCCAAGCAAGGGAAAAAAACAGCATGAAACAAGCACCAATCAGGTAACTTTCTGGCTGAAATTTATCAGACTACAAGGCGTCACACGTATTTCTGTTTGTAGAACCGGAGCAAATGTTATAATTCTTTTATGAAGAATGGAATGTTCTACTTCCAGATAGAATGGCCGTGCAGATGAAACTGCACCGAAATTTGGGAAGAGTTTATTTTGTTCCTGGTAGTTTCTGAACGTTTAGCGTCCCTAGATCTTTGAGTCGGAAGCGTCACTTTTGTGACAGGTTCTGTTACCACGGTTACTACAAACTAATACACAAAATAGGTTTTCATTGGCGTCACGGTTCTAAAGCAATTATTGTGGAGGGAAATAATGTTTAAAAATGACTTTGAATCGAACCCATGCATGTAACAGCAAAATTAACAATATTCCTGGGGCTCCCTCCCCAGGAAGGACAATTGTGGCCTATATTTTGTATTCTTAAAAGTGAAATTAAACTTATGCGATCACCATGCAGTCTGTGTATCCCCCCATTTTAACTATTGAATGCCTAAATCAATTAAACTTGGTATATATATCATATCCAGAATAGTCTAAAGCAAGGAGATGCTTTATCGATACTGCTTTTCAACTTTTCTTTAGAATACGCTATTAGGAAAGTCCAGAGAAACCAGGTGGGACTGAAATTAAACGGGACACGTGAGCTGTTGGTCTATGCCGATGATGTGAATCTACTGGGTGTTAATGTAGATACCATAAAGAAAACACACAAACTTTAATTGACGCAAGTAAAGAAGTTGATCTAGAAGTAAACACAGAGAAAACTAAGTACATTTTGCTGTCTCGTCACCAAAATGCAGGGCAAAATCATGACATAAAGATAGGTAACAGATGTTTTGAAAATGTGGCACAGTTCAGATATTTGGGAACAACGATAACAGATCGAAACCTGATTCAGGAGGAAATGAAGAGGAGATTGAACTCGGGTAATGCTTGCTACCATTCAGTCCAGAACCTTTTGTCTTCTCGTCTGCTGGCCAAAAACATAAAATTTAGAACATACAGAACTATAATTTTGCCTGTGGTTCTGTATGCGTGGGAAAATTGGGCTCTGACATTAAGAGAGGAACATAGACTGAGGGTGTTTGAGAACAGGGTGTTGAGGAGAATATTTGGACCGCAGAGAGATGAAGTGATGGGAGGTTGGAGAAGACTGCATAATGAGGAGCGTCATAAATTGTACTCTTCTCCAAGTATAATTAGAATGATAAAGTCAATGAGATTGAGGTAGTCAAGGCATGTAGCATGAATGGGGGAGAAAAGGAATGCATATAGGATATTGGTGGGAAAGCCAGAAGGAAAGAGACCACAGGGACGACCAAGGCGTAGGTGGGTGGACAATATTAAAATTGATCTTAGAGAGATGGGCTGGGATGGTATTGATTGGATTGATCTGGCGTAGGATAAGGACCAGTTGGAGGGCTCTTGTGAACACGGTAATGAACCATAAAATGCTGGCAAGTTCTTGAGTAGCTGCAGATTTGGCTGCTCCTCCAGAAGGGCTCAGCTCCATAAGTAGGTAGGTATATCATGACACATGAGCTCCTCTCAACGGCGTACTTCGTAAATCCCTCCCGTCAGTCTGTGTGTCCGTATGGGTATCCTATCGTTCCTACGAAACGGCTCGGTAAAAATGTTTCCGCGGTAATGAACACACAATTGTTAGACACGTCGTTTACTATGCGGTCCGTGTCGTAGAAAAGTAAAGTAGGTGATTAATTCTTCCCAGAACTTTTTGTAATATTTATTATTTTTAAGGAGCACGTTTGGGTGATACGGGATGAGATGGAAGGGAATTGCCTGTTACATACACGCATTAATATTAAACAGTTTCACGTGTGTACTTCACATTTACTTTGTGTACAATATCAGGGCTTCGGTTCCCGGAAGGGGCAAAGTGTTCTTCTCTCCACGGCGTCGGGATTGCTCTGAGGCCCAACAAGCCTCCTGTCCACTGGGCATCGGGGACTCTTCTCCCGAGAATAAAGCGGCATGGATGTGAAACTAACCACCCACCTTCATCTAGTCTCGAGGTCAAGAATGTTGGAGCTATACCTCCACTCCCCCATACGTTTTCATGGTTTAGTGCTCAAATAATTAAACCCAGGACAGTTTTAACTTTTAGCCTACTTTCCTTATTTTGAAAAAATGAAAGTAAGCTTATGCGATCTCCATGCTGTCTGTGTCTGTATATGCCCCTTATCAGTTTCGAATACCTGAACCAATTTTTATGAAATGTGGCATGTACACCATGGCACCTGAACCCATCTCATCGGTGTACTCCATAAATTCCTCGCATCGATCTGTGTGTTTGTATGTGTATCTCACGTATCGTTGCTAAGCAGCGTCTAGGCAATTTTTATCTTTCCTTCAAGTGCTAGGCAACGGCTCGGTAAATACGTTCCTGCGGCAACGAATACATGCAACAGAAGAATTGTTGAACGCGTGTGTCTGTGTGTCCCTCTATCGTTGCTAAGTA